TTCCCTGGGAACGCCTGGCAGGTTGCCATGGTTACCTCCAGCAAGGCATGGGCATCGCTTCCCCTTCTCCTGAGTCTTTGCTTTCTTTCTTCTCTCCATCCCTTTTAACTTCTACTACCTGTCTGCTTCCTCATTTTATCTTCATGGGAAGAACAATAAAGGTCAACCTAGACCTGGAAAGTTCCCTCCTAAATTTGACTCCTGTGGCTCTTTGTAGGGGGAGAGCGGAGAGTTGAGTTTGGTCTGGGCTGTGGACCAGATGATGTAGGAGAGACCAGAAGTAATCAAAGGCATGAAGCAGACATCTGCGCTGCACATGGCTGCGGGAGCGTGCCCACACTCTCCCCCTGTCCATCCTGACTGCCTGGGAGGAAGAAGGGGAGAAAAAAGGGGAGAGGTCAGAGAGAGCTTTCAATGCTCAGCACATGGCCTTTCCCAGGTGGATGATGGCTGCCAGCCCCCTCCGTGGAACAGAGCGGAGGAGCCCCAGGCCCTGGAGAGCTCAATTGGCCACTTTCACACAGCTGCGCTGGCAAGAGCCTGCCTGCTGTTCTCCAGATTTCTCTTGCTTTGGCCGGATTGAAGCCTTTAAAAAAGTGACACCTTGTATTTTATTTCACTCCTTTTTCTGAAAGATCCAAAGACATTTACAGGCATGAGCGCAATAGGCTTTATGGTGGCCCATCAAAAAGCAGGGATTGTTTCCTTCGTCTTTATAGAGCAGAAAATAAAAGCACAGGAAGACGGAGTAACTCTTCTGAGGCCACACAGTGCTTCCAAGAAAGGGTGGAAAATCCAGTAAGTTCCTGGCGCCTGGGAGAGGCCTGAGCCAAACCAAGGCTGTTTGTGGAGAGAGCCGGAGGCTCCTTGCAAGTCACTGTGCAGCCTCTGCACCAGTGTTGCATGGGTACCCCTCATTATATTGGGGATCTGGAGGCCTCATGGGAAAAAAGGGGAGACTGAGCAGAAATGCTGTGGGGATCTGGCCAAGAAGCTCTCCCTGCTGGCTCCTGACCCCTGAGGTTGTGCTCCCTGGAACCAAAGAGTTGGGTTGGTGTGTCCCATAGGATATTTCAGGAGTGTCTTTAAGGAAGGCCGACAGGTGTTATTGCTTAAAAGGGCCGGGCAAAGTGGCACACACCTGTAATCCCAGCAGCCCAGGAGGCTGAGGCAGGAGGATTGCAAGTTCAAAGCCAGCCTCAGCAACTTAGCAATACCCTAAGCAATTTAGCAAGACCCTGTCTCAAAATCAAAAGGGATGGGGATGTGGCTCAGTGTTTAAGCACCCCTGGTACCAAATATCTATATTTGGTATGAAACATATAATAGGCCAGGATTGGGTAAACATGTTTCTTCTCAAGACTTTCCATTATGGATGCCATAGATTGCATTAGGATGTTTCCAAAGAACCCTGCTAAGTGGAGCATCTTGGGGAACTTGGATTCCAAGTTGCCAGCATGACAAGGTCATGGTTGCCCCTCTTTGCTGTGCCCTAAGAGATGGGGATGCCCTAGGATTGGCTGGTGAGGGACTACCGTGGTTCCCTAAGACGGGAAGTTCCACGGACTTCCCTCTCCCGCTCCTCCTTTCCCCAGCTGATCACCTGCATAGGCCTCCGCTGTGACTGTTAGTTATGCATTCGTGCATCTAGTTCTTTATTTCCACTGGCACGTCTGCTCCACAGCAGGTGTGTACATGTGAAGATTGCTTCCCTCTTACACCTGGGCCCAGCTCTCCATGCCATGCTCATCAGATACTGGCCCAATGCTTCTCCATGTGCCGGTGATGACAGGCAATCAAAGCCACCAAGATGGTGCCTGGAAGGGTCCAAGGAGGGGCAGAGAGGTCACAGAGTCTGGTGAAAGGAGACCCTAGGGATTCTCTTTTGTCATGGTCCTGCAGCTGCCTCCGTAAGTGACTGCTGAGAGGTCACCAAATTCCTCTCTGCTGAGCTTGTCCCTCTAAAAAGGGAGGATTTGTACTAGATCCAGGATTCTTCTGGCTCTAGAGTTCTCTGACTTCAGACAATGACCCCGAAGCTCCTTTTTGATTCGTCTCTTTTTTCCTTTCAGCTCTTAACCATCGATGACAACTTCTGTGGCCTGGATATGAATGCTCCCCTGGGAGTGTCCGAGATGGTGCGTGGCATCCCGGTCTTCACAGAGGACAGGGACCGCATGACTTCCGTCATTGCCTACGTCTACAAGAATCACTCTCTAGCCTTCGTGGGCACCAAGAGTGGCAAGCTGAAGAAGGTAGGAATGAGGTGCTGCTGGTGGATGGTTGTGGAGACAGGCTGCTCCCCTGGGATGATGTTATCTCGCGGTTTCTTACTCCTGTGCTGTGCGCCTGACGGGCTGTAAGACTGGTCTGACGTAGGGAGGTAGGCTGCTGGAGGTCAGGACGATTGCCTTTCTTTCTTTTTTTTATGCCTTTGTCCTTGGTTGTTGTGGGAACCAGGCTGTTGTGAGTGTGGTGCACTCTTCCCTAGGAAAGGTTTGAGTGCACGCTTGCTCTGTCGTTCCAAACAGTGTACTCTGTTCAACTTGGGCTAGTGCCCTGCGGCAAGGGCTTTATTAGGTCTGGGTGGCTGGGGAAGTGGGCAGGGGGGAGGAGGGGGCAGGGCAGGCCTGTTCCTCTTGCTCCAGCCCTTCTGGCTGGTGCATCCATCTGGAATCCATTTAGGGAACAGATGGAGGAACACGCAGACCTGTTAGAGTTGCTAATGGGGCTAAAAGCCAACTTGTGGGACAAGGAGATGTGGAGGCCAGGCAAGAATAGGAATTGCCTAAGGTGAGGTGGAAATATGGTCCAAGGACCTGGACTGTCCTCCTTGACCCGCAGAAGCTGGCTGGCTCTTGGGGTGTTGGATAATCTTGGCTCGTCAGCGGTGTTGGGAGAGCCTGTCCACCCAGGGATGCTCCTCGCTTTGGGTTTTCTATTTCACTGGATTGAAGCTGGCTCCACAGCATGTCTTCCTTGATGGGGTGAGAAGCCTTTCTAAGATGAAATGCTCTCCATCTTATATTCTGTTGACTGATGGTTGTACTTCAGTCCTTTCCTATGGCCTTTTGGTGATGGACTTGCCTTAGAATCTCTGGATGTTGTGTGATTCGGGCTAAGTAAAGAGGCACTGTGTGATGGAGACTGAACCTTGATCCCTACTTTTCTCTTTGCTGTATTTCTGGGCATTGGCTCTGGATGGTCCAGGGGAAATGTTCTGTGCAATATTCTAGAAGGTTATTTCTGATCTACCAGCCATTTATGCAACGACTCAGCAATCTTTCTTTCTGTTGAACTCGATACCTTTGTGGCACCATTTGTAGGTCTGGAATGTGATAGTGTAGAAGGCAAGACGTGTGTGTGAGTGGAGATGTGCACATGGAGCATCGAGTGGGAAACATCTGGAAAAGAAGGCAGTGTCCACTGCTGGAGGTTCATGGCACACTCTGTGACGGTGATGAACAATGTCCTGCCTGTGTGGCACTGCCCAGGAGGACATAATGACCAGACTTTAGGGTCCTGTCATCTGTGTCAAAACCAAAAAACGATTTCCCCATTTGTCTACACATCTTCAAAAATCCCCTTTCATGGGTTCCTGCCTTTTCTGAGAACACAGTAAGTACGACTGAACTTTGTCTTGCTCATGGCTCCTTGTGATGCCCACTCACGTATTGAACTGAGTCTCGTGGAGGCCTGGAGAAGATGCTGGAAGGTGTGGGGGTGATGTCCCCACGCAGCTCCTGGGTGTGACTGTTGCCGCCTTCCTGGTCCTTCCTCCCATCACCTGCAGCTGCTGGGACACGCTGGCAACTCCAGTGCCTTGCTCCCTCAGTCTGCGGCTTCCGGCTGGCAGTGGGCGGGCAGTCAGCCTCTAGACTTGCTGCAGTTGTGTCCCATGAGCCTCCGCGGGCACCGAGGGGAGGAGCGCGAAAGCCACTGAGCAGGGAGGGCTCTGGTGGACACTTCCCTTGGTTGTTCAGGTGGCCGCTTTTGCTATTATTTGATGGTTTCAGTTGGCTGCAAAAAGTGAACGCCGAATCCCAAAGGACCGTGTGTTGAAGGCCTGGTCCCCGGGGGTGGTACTTTGGAATGTGGTGCAACCTTGGGGAGGGGAGCCGATGGGAGGCCCTGAGGTCTCTGGAGGCAAGTCTTCCTAAAGGGGGTCGTGGGACCCTAGTGCCTGCCCTTTTCCTTTTGCTCCCTGGATCATGGTGTAAGCAGTTTTGCTACAGAACTGGTCACCATGTACTGCCACTCTGCAGGCCCCAAACAATGGGGCCAACAGAACTTAAACTGGCACTTCCCAAACCATGAGTCAGAAATCAATGGTTTATCCGTAAGTTATTTATCTCAGTGTTTTGTTATGGTGATGGAAAGCTGCTGACTGGTTCTCTTACCATCCCATCCAGCGTCCCTTGACCATCTTGCCTGCTCCCATGGGAATAAACACTACTGAGAATAAATAAATAGGCAACACTCTACAGGGGTGCTTGGCCCTTCCCTGCAGTGAGCCCAGTCTCAGTGCAATGGAAAAAGTGACATCCTCCATTGACCTCAAAGTCCTATCTGCCAAATTTCCTATCGACAGCCAGAGGATCATGCAACTCACTGGCAAGACAGAATGAAACCTGGATGAGGGTTTATTTATTGTCGTTGTCTGACCTGGCTGGAATACGGTGTCAGTGAAATGAACATAGAAAGTTCAGTGCACATAACAGGCAATCATTGAGGGGGAAAAAACCACAAAAACACATGTTTTCAAGTCATGGTTGCACTGTAAACCTGAGAGAGTCACCTTGCAGATGCATGCTGTTGGTCCAAGGGTGGATTGAGGCAGCTGGCAGCTGGCAATGTCCCCTGTCCCTTCCCAGGGAGCTCATGCACAGCACATCCCAGGAGTAGGGAGGAGGACAGCCAAGGAGTGTGAGTGAACACTTAGAAACAACCCTCAGATACTGGCAGGGACAGGTGGCAGGAGCCAAGTCACCCCAGGCTGGCGTTTCCCATCTTTTCCCTTGGTGGGTTTACATAGTTCTCTTTCAGCCACTTGGGACATTATATTTAATTTCCAGAGCATTGGTGGGGCCGCCGAGGCATAAAATTTGAAAGCCAAGAGCAGAAGGGTCGTGTGGGGGGACCGAGCCATTGTTCCCCTGGGAAGAGGCGCCATCACAGGGCCACACTTTCTGCTCTGTGGGCTCAGACTGGCAGCCTCTTAATAGTTCTGCTCAGGCCCAGCCACTGCTTCTGCCAGCTCAGCACAGCTGGCCCAGGGGACAGTCGGAGTGGGGAAGGAAGGCTGGGCCATGGTGCCTGTTGTTTGAAATAATAAAAAGCAAAAGTGGCCTGTTTATTTATTTTTCCTAAACAATAAAATTTTCCACCGCCCCAGCTCTCTGGATGCCACGCCCCTTTCCTTGTGATATCTGACTTGCTTTCCCCCTGAGCTGATCACGCCCATGGCCACCCTTTGGGCAGAGGCCCAGCCATGACAAACTTGGGGCTGCGGGAGGATTTTGCAGCCAGTTTTGTGAGCAACCGAGATCAGGGGGTGAGAATAATGGAAATCATACGGTAGCCGTAATTACAGAGTTGGCGTCCCTGAGCCCTGTAATAATCTCCTGTGTGTGTCGAGGGCCTTTCAGAGTTGACAAGGGACTCAAAGTGGGCAGGGTGGGCAGAAAGGAGGCTGGGGGTTTACTGAGAATAAGAAAGTTTGGCTCTGGGTTTTAGGGACCCAGGGGCTAGACTGTAGCTATCCATAGGCTGCCCTCAAAATTACTGACTTTTCATTGTGTTTGAAAGGTGTGAGTCCCAGTCATTTGCAACCTTGCCTTTGATGACCGTAATTTCACTCCTCAAGTGCACACATCACATGAGGCAAGGGGAAAGGAGGTGAGGAAAGTGCCAATTTGGATGTCTTTGATGTTTTCTGATGTGAGTGTGTGTGTTATAGACAGCATTGGCAGCCTTTTCCCACAGTGAGCGTTCAAGGTGTGTGCTCTTAAGAAATTCAGCATGGAAACGTTACACTCATTAGGAGGTACCTAGGAACTTAGAAATAATCCACAGACTGTTAAAATTTCAGCCACAGGTAAAACTCATAAGGGAAACACCATCTTGACTTGCCTTGGGGTGACCACACAAATCTGAAAGCCTTTGACCCAAGTTGGGGTAATCAGGTCAGTGGGCTCTCAGAAAGACAAGATGCCTTTGCTTAAATATTTCTACAGAAATCCTCGCTGCATCTTGCTTCTTCTCGCTAAGTGATCGTATTTTATGGCGGCTGCTCAGCAGTGAATTACTGCCTGACGTTAGCGGGAGAGACTAACGTTCATTGTGAACCAAAACATCATAAACTTCCACTTGAGGTGTGATTGCTTCTTTCGTTTTGTGATTGCGTCTTTCCCGGATGTTTTTCCTGGGCTGAACGGCTCGTGCTTACAGGGTGGAGCTCTGGATCTGGTTAGGCAGAGCTCTGGTGCTCTTGCTGTAAGCGTGCACGCTCCAGGCCAGACCAGCCTCTCTGGCTGAGAACTGCATGTGCGTCCACCTGCAGAGTCAATAGCAGCATAAAACACAAAAAATCAAATTTTATTGGCAATTGTCATGCAGATTAATTTAATTATCCTAATTTTTTACCCCTTGAATGTGTTTTAAAATCGATTTGCGCGTGTTCCCTAGGCTCTCTGAGTCTAGGAGGGAAATCAGCCAGAAGCAGAGTTGGTGGAAACAGACAGCTTGGAGCTGGTGTCCTTCTCCTCTGTGTGCGTTTTCAGTCCTTGAGTCTCAAAGCAATAGCAAACCAGAGGTTCCAGCCGCTGCTCTGCCAGTTTCTAGATACACCCAGGAATTCTTTGTAAAACTCCTCTGGAAATATGAATCCACTTTAAAAATAAATTCATGGCACGTAAAGCTCCGTAGATGGGTGAAAAGATCAGGAAAGAAACGGAGGCCCCGTGTTAGATCTCCACATTGACTGGAAACCTGTGGGTTCCTATAGTTGGTCCACGTGTGGTTGGTCTGCTCTGCCGCATGAGGTGCTTCTCAAACCTGAGCGCCTCAGGTTTACACGTGGTTAGGCACGAGCAGAAAGGAACAGAAAGGAACAGAAGGCCCTTGCGTCATTAGTCTGACCATCCTGGGGATCTAAAACTGGCCCTTCGGGACAGTTTTGCCTCGTGCCAACCTGTCTGCTCCTCCTGTGCCTCCTCTTGTCTCGTCCCAATCTCCTCTGCTGTATTATATGCTT